TGGATAGATGAATTTCTTTCTCTCAGGTACTAGTTTTGATTTGCCCAAAGGCTTGCGACCTAGACCAGTGATTTCTAAACCTGGCTGCAGTTCAGAATTATCAGGAGAACCTACAATAACAGAAGCAGAGAATAGGCCCTCCCCTAGAACAATTAAATGTAACTCTCTAGAGGTATAGGGCCTGAGGTACCGCATATTTGAAGACCTTTCCACTAATATATATCCAGAGTTGAGAATCACTGATGGAGATGCTTAATGTTGAGTGCAGTTTTCATTAACAGAGGCCTGATATTGAACATTAGCAGGAAAGGACAGAAAAGTCATAGAAAGTCCCTGGAGAATCAATATTAGAATCTTCAAGTGACCAGCAATTGATAAAAGAAGACTCTTCTTTTCAGAAATAATCTGAAAAGAGCAAAATATCGTTTCTACTTTATTAGAGCAACTAAAAGTTCTCAGTATCTTAATACCCCATCATCAAGATTCACAACTTCATCCTCTGAAAACATTTTTTTTTTTTTACCCTCACCCGAGAACACTCCTCCATTTTCTGTTCAGATAGAGTGGTGGGGAGAGAGAGAGAGAGAGAGAGAGAGAGAGAGAGAGAGAGAGAGAAACATTGATGTGAAAGGGACACATCGAGTGGCCTCCTCCCGCACCACCCAACCAGGGCTGGTGACAGACCACAACCGAGGCATGTACCCTTAGCGGGAACCGAACCCAGGTCTCCCCAGACCACACGCCAACGCTCTAACCGCTGAGCCAAACCGGCCAGGGCTGAAAACATTTTTTTTTAAACTTATTTGCCCTACAAACCTTACCTGAGGTGCTATGAGGCTATTTGTACTTTTTTTACCTAGGTTATCCCCATTTCCTGACATTTAGGATATCAATTCTTGACTTGTAAAGATGTTTTTTAGATAACTCCAGTTAGAAGTTCAGGATTTTACATCAGACCTGAGTTTGAACACAGTTGGGGAAATGCATGCTCTTCCCCTGAAACGAAATGACCTTGTCCAAGCTGCTGAATCTATTTGACTCCTGTTGTTTGCCAGGGAAATGGAAGTAGCAAACTTGACAGGACTGTTGGAAGACTAAATTAGGACTTATATCGCAAGTGTTGAAGTTTAAGAGACTTAACAGTTAACCAAAGTTAACTATCGTTTTTATTATTTCTTTAACTTTTTAAAATTTATCTTTATTTTTTTAAAGTATTACAGATATCCCCCCAGTTTCCCCCCCAGTGACCCTCTCATTCCTGCTCCCACTCCCTCTGCCTTTACCTCACTATTGTCTGTGTCCATTGTTTATGCATATAAGTTCTGTGGTTTATCTCTTCCCATCCCATCCCCTCTTTTCTCTGAGGTTCATCAGTCTGTTCCTGCTTCCATGTCTCTGGATCTATTTTGTTTGTCAGTTTATTTTATTAATTAGATTGCACATATACATGAAATCATGTGATATTTGTCTTTCTCTGACTGGCTTATTTTACTTAGCATAATACTCTCCAGGTCCTTCCATGTCCTCTCAAAGGGTAAGAGATCTTTTTTTTTTCTTATAGCTGCATAGTATTCCATTGTGTAAATGACCACATTTTTTTAATCCATTCGTCTACTGATGGACACTTGAGCTGTTTCCAGATCTTAGCTATTGTAAATAGAGCTGCTATATTATTTCTAATAATAAATTAAGTCTTGGTCCTACTCTTTTCCAGTCAACAAACATTTATTGGGTACCCACTATGCCACCAACATTATAGTAACTACCAGAAAAACAGCCATGAATAAGGGAGACGCTCTCCAGGTCCTTCACGAGCTTTTCTTCACTCCTGCGCTAGAGACATCCTAAACTCAAACCTGCTGTTTGAGTGACTCTCTTAGGCAAACATACCCACACAATGGTAGGATTATTGCCCTATTAATGGAGAACTCCTCTAGTTTATAATTTATTCCTAAAAAAAAAACCTCTTCCAACTGCTTCATTAATTCTATTCTTTCTAATTCCCCACCCTAGCCACAAATATGATTTCTGACATAAAAGGTTTTGGGAAAGGCATCACTGCTGTAGAAGAATCTAGTTCTGTCATTTCCCTCTACTCTGATTTCTCCGAACTCTTTTTTTGTTCTCTATTGTGTTAAAACATCCTAAGGAGACTATCTTATTCCTTCCCAAATTTTTAATCTAGCCTACTTTTGGTTACGGAAGAAATCTAGTATCACTAAACAGCAACCTGGGAAGGGGATTTTTATTGGTTTTCCCAGGGACAGAAAGGAGTGTGAACATAAGTTGATTTTTATCTATTTCTCAGTTGTCAAGCTGTGGTTAGAGAAAGGTGATCAGGTTGTATTTAATAGGTTGGGGACCATGAAATAATAGTTTGCTTATCCCAACATTTTGCTATCTTTATCTTCCTGGAACCTTTTTGATTGGGTTGTTGCCCTGTTAGTCTGAGAGCATCTGGATCCTAAGCCTTAGGATCTTGGGGACATAACTATAACTACTCTGCCAAGATTCATTCCTGATTTTGCACTAAAGATATTGGACCGGGTCTAGTAAGTTTATTTTTAAAGACCAACCAGCTGTCAAACAATTATCATCTCCCCAAAATAAGATGCTGATTATAAAATCTAAGTTCACTTGACATAAATACTTTATCTGCCAATCTCTTTTCACTTGCCTCTCCTTTGTTTGTTTTTCTTATTTCTCCAGTTTTTCTTTTTCTTCCCACCCCTTAAATGTAGCTGTTTCTCTGGACTCTATATGCTATGGATGAAGTCTTCTGTACCCTGACACTGACTCAAATTTTCATCTCTAGCACAGAGCTTTTTCCTGATTTTTAGTCTCATCTATCTTTTTTGCTTATAGGAACTCACCGTGGAAGTTTTACCAGCATCTCAAATTTGTCATGTCCAAAATTTAAAAAGTATATTCTTAATTCCCACTCCAAGTCTATCCTTATATTCCCTGCCTTTATTAATGTCATCACTTGACCCATCTACTTCCCATTCATCCCTTTCTTTCACCAAGCCCTATGTAATACCACTTACTGGACTCTTTTGAATCAGTCTTTTCTAGCCTTGCTCTCTTAATGTTTTTTTGTATCTATCAATGTTATCGGCACTAAGGAAACTGATTGTTTTAAAACATAAATATGATTGTGATCCTTTCTGAAAATGTCCAATTCTTTCCATTCAATTTATTCAGGATAAAAATTGGTAGATTCCAAATTCACTTTGTTAACTTGTCTTTACTTGACCTCCCAGCCTTACCTCCGACCATTTCATACCTGCGCCTTCCCCTTCTGCTGTATTGGGAGTGACCGTGACTTTTTTTTCTTTTGTGCCTTTGCATGTCTGCCATTCCTTCTCTCTCCTCTCTCTCGTCCACCTGTCTAAAATCCTGCTCAGTGGTGTCATCTCTGGGAAATTTCCCCTAACATTTCTCCTTTCCCTCCATCATAGTCTCCTGTCCTAGCACATATCATGCCGCTTTCTGGTTGCCTGCTGACATGTCATAATCATACTAGTCTTCACTTCTTAAAGGTAAGAGGTATCTTTAATTTTATAGTCTAAGTTTAGCAAAACAGATGACACAAGAAATTACACAATAATTTTGTGGTTCTCTTACTCTTTATATTGTGTCTTCAAACAGTGTGAAAAGCTTAGGAGGGTATTTTAATCTTTACGTGAGGCTCATAAATTGGCATCTAATTTTTAGGGGCAGTATACATCATGATTGAAGTATTTTCTGGAGCCAGTCCATTCCATTCCAAAAACGATATAGAGAGCCGTCCAGTTAGAAATAGTATACAGAATTGAGTATGCAAGTTCTGCCAATTTTGTTCATTCAGCTTAAAATTTCTTGCTAAAGGCTAGAGACTCCATCTTAGAACTTAGTTTTCTTATTTTAAATTCAATAATAACTTTGGACTAGAAACTGAATAAAATGTCACAGTTAGTTTTCACTTTTATAAATGATGTTCTCCTTAAAAACATGTTTGGGGAGGGACAGGTCTTACCCCTACATATTACTTGAATAATTATAATGGTGCATGGTATGTAATTGTGTACTAGAACTCTTTCACAAAACATTTCTTTTTAAGCATCATGAAGAAAACCAGCCCTCACTGTGATTCAGCCTGTCATCAATGTCCTTTTCCCCCTCTTTTCTTTTCACTCCTGGTGTCCTATATTCGGGTTTGGTAAACATGTTGCTCTGTTCTTAGGGACACGGTAAGTGATATTTTATCAGGTCAAATACTGCTTTTATAACTCAATGATCTCTGTTGCCTCTTTAGAGACATTACAAGTAAAGCTTAATACCTTTTCTTTTCTTTTAGATTTTGTATTTGTGTGATTGTATTTGAAAATGGCTTTAAAAAAAAATATAACAACAAATGCTCTTAATTTTCTCGTCTTTATTGGTTCTGTCAGAATTTGCTAGTGCTATCAGGTCAGCGAATTGAGAGGATGGCAGTTTACTTGGTGATGCTGCTTTTTATATTAATTGGTTTAGTTGGAGTAAAGGTTCATAGGTTATGTGCAAATTTCACAAAATAAATGGCAGTATTTTGAATTAATGGCTGATAGTACCTGTCAGTATACCTTTGGTTTCTTAAGGATGCCTCCTTTCTTTGTAATCAGTTTAATGAAGGCCTTTGGCCCCTTGATTATTAAGTTAAGATACCTGTTATTTTAGACATAAAATATATTTATAAAAGTAATTTTATGCATATTGTATAATAGTTGCTTGCCAGAGTTAACAATGTATTTTTTTTTACTGGAGGGAAGTCCCTAATATTTTATAGTCCTAATAAATTATAGTTAATAGCAGTTGTGTTCTTCCAAAAGTAATTTCCCTGAGCAGGATATCTTTGTGTTCTCGTTAACCATAAGAGTTGATGTTGTTTGTAGCTCCTCTTGAGTTGTTGGTTGGATGAATGAATTGAATTATGCTGATAGAAAAGAATAGCTACTAATGTCATTTATTTCTGTTTATAGGTGTTACCATTTAATGAAACCTTGCCAGCAAGCCTATGATAAAAATATAAGTAAAAGAGGAAACTATAACTGTTATTTGTCAAGTGACAAGCTTTTAATGTCAGAATGGCTCACCTAAAGCGACTAGTGAAATTACATCTGAAAAGACATTATCATAAAAAGTTCTGGAAGCTTGGTGCAGTAATTTTTTTCTTTGTAGTATTTTTGATTTTAATGCAAAGAGAAGTAAGTGTTCAGTATTCCAAAGAGGAATCAAGGATGGAAAGGAACATGAAAAACAGGAACAAGATGCTTGATTTAATGCTAGAAGCTGTAAATAATATTAAAGATGTGATGCCAAAAATGCAGATAGGGGCACCTGTCAGGCAAAATATTGATGCTGGTGAGAGACCCTGTTTGCAAGGATATTACACAGCAGCAGAACTGAAACCCATTCTTGAACGTCCACCTCAGGACTCTAATGCACCTGGTGCTTCTGGTAAAGCATTCAAGACACTTGAGCTAAGTATTGAAGAGCAGAAGGAAAAAGAACGTGGAGAAACAAAACATTGTTTTAATGCTTTTGCAAGTGACAGGATTTCCTTACATCGAGATCTTGGACCAGATACTCGACCTCCTGAGTATGTTCAAGAATATTCATTGTCTCTCCTGTTTATCACCGGGGTTTTCAAGGGGGGTGATGGGGGCTTTAGCTAAGGAAATTGCTTGTTCTTCAGCTACTCTAAGAGAAAAAAACAATCATCAATTACCATTTATTTAATCAGTTTTAATTATGTTTTGTTTTTTATTATTGAGGCCAGATATTCATATCTATTTCTGGTGATGCATTGCAGATGTAAAAAGTTATTGTCTTAGAAATTAGAAAATTGAATTCTAGATCTGACATCTATAGAACCACAAATAAACTTCTTTATTCTGAAATGTTTAGTTTTTTCATCTATTAAGAAAATAATACAGGGTAGTTTTTATGCGAAATGTGGGAGTTTTCTCCATTCCTCCGTGTATTACTATAGAATAGAAATAATTTTAAAATGTGCCAAGATTTTGGAGCTGTTAGATAATGATATTTTATGAATCTAAGTCACAGATTTTATGGTTACTCTCCATGTTGTAATTATATTTTAGAATTCCCTGTGCTTCATAACCTTTCGTATAAGGGACAGTCTTGTTATAATTACTAATTCAACTATGATTCTTTCTCTAGAGTTTGTTGAGTAAGTCCTGGTATTACAGAGTTGTCTCCCTTTAGCTTTGGAGAGATCAACATTGCTTTTATTGTTTCTGTGTTTATTTCAAATATATAGTATTTTGATTAAGATTTCCCCCAAGCTTCTACTATACTATTTGTACTTACTTAAGTAACCATTTTGTTGTCTTTGAGGTAGTGTTCAAACGCTCTATTTGAACTGTAATAGCTAAAATGAGTTTCCAGCACTTACAACTCATCTGTAAATTTATTAAAAGTGCAAGACAGATGAACTGTAAGCAAATAATGACTACGTATTTGCCTTCTGGTTATAAAATTACATTTGGAAGTGAACCTGAAGAAAAGGACTTTGGTAGACTTAGGTCTATTGCTTCACTCACATTTTTCAAGATTTGTGATCTGATCATAAATACCTGCTTCAACTATGAGTCCCTCAGTGTTGAAGTTGTGCAGATTAAATTTCTGTTGCTGTATTCTCCCTCCCCCCCTTTATTGATTTTATCGAGAGAGGAAATAAGAGGGAGAGAGAGAGAAACATTGATGAGAGAGAACTTTGGCCACCTCCTGCATGTCCCCCACTGGGGATCAGGTCCACAACCTGGTGTGTGTCCTGACTGGAAATCGAACTGGTGACCTTAGTGCATGGGTCTATGCTCAACCACTGAGCCACACCGGTAGAACTATACTGTATTTTCTACTCCTCACCCAAGAATATGTTTTTATTGATTTGACAGAGAGGGAGGGAGAGAGGAAGAAAGAGAGAGAAAGAGAGAGATATAGAGAGACATTAATGGATTGCCTCTTGAATGCACTCCAATGGGGGAATCAAACCCAAAACCTGGGTATGTACCCTGACCAAGAATTAAACCTGCCACCTTTCGATGCATGTGACAACACTCCAAACAACTGAGCCACACCTGCCAGGGCTGTTGCTGAATTCTAATCTGTGTGATTCAAGGTTCATCATTTTAAATGAATGTGTAAAGAAACACATGGATGTACATAAAATATTCTAATTGTTATAATAGGGCACAGTTTTATATGATAATAGGTTAAAATGCAGTATTGCACTTTATTTTGAGACAGGTCTTGACTGAAAATCAATTCACATCACAAATGAAGAAGCATGATTTTTATTCTTTAATATGACAATCAAAGTTGGCTCAAGATAAACCTTTTTCTCCCAATATAACATGTTAAAACTATAATAACATTCAATAATCATAATCATTAAGTAAGTGAGCAACAACTAAGCATGTAGACATTTTTTTACATAGGCATCAATACCTGTAACTGAAGAGTTGATGAAAATTTAATACTTTGTTTCTTTAAATTTAACCTTTATCAACAAGGAACACATTTTCTGAGGAATTCTTAATCTTTTTCTTGCTCATTGGAAATATAGATCCAGTTTTTCCCAAAGCCAGATGGTCATGTGACTGATTAAGCACTTTTCTATATGCCAAAATTTTCAAATGGTTTAGGAATACACTGTCAATTTGGCAAGTTATTTTAATTTCACTACTTTAAATGACATGTGAAACAGTTTTTAAAGCATAAGTTTAACATGCTAATTGTTTCCAAATAAATGAGGTTTATGAAATCATATTGTGAAATTTTATTACCACTTGCATTAATTATATGTCATGACACTTTTTTTTTTTTTTTTTTTTATCCTCACCCGAGGATATTTTTCCATTTTTTGTACAGATAGAGTGGGAGGGAGAGAGAGAGAGAAACATCGACGTGAAGGGACACATCGAGTGGCTGCCACCCGCACGACCAACCAGGGCCGGGGACAAACTGCAACCGAAGTACGTGCCCTTAGCGGGAACCGAACCCGGGTCTCTCCGGACCGCAGGCCGACGCTCTAACCGCTGAGCCAAACTGGCCAGGGCGTGTCATGACACTTTTATTTGATATTAGTGGTTATCAGTTAAGCAAATAAATCCTAGCTTAAACCAAGGGAAAGCATTGTAAGATTAAAATGATAACATTTTATTAATGTGAGTTTTTGTAAAGTTTTATACTTTAAATCTTCGAACTTTTTTGTAATTCTTAATATTATAATAGTCATATGACAAATAAATGTAGAGAAACATTTTTTTTTTTAATCCTAACAATTGGTCCGCCTGGTGTGGCTCAGTGGACTGAGCGTCCTCCCATGGACTGAGGTCATGGTTCGATTTCTGGTCAGGGTATATGCCTGGGTTATGGGTTCGATCTCTGGTAGGGGGCGTGCAGGAGGCAGCTGATCTATGTTTCTCTCTCACATTGATGTTTCTGTCTCCCCCTTTCTCAAAAAATCAATAAAAAAATATTTTTAAAAAAATCTGGAAAATCACCCTGGCCAATTTGGTGCAGCAGTTAAAGCAATGGCCTATGGACCAAAGAATCACAGGTTTGATTCTGGTCAAGGGCACGTGTACCTCAGTTATGGTTTGTTCCCCAGCCCTGGTTGTGGTCATACGAGAGGCAACCAAATCAATGTTTCTGTCTCTCTTTTCCTCTCTCCCACTCTGTCTGAAAATAAATGGAAAAATATTCTTGGGTGAGGATTAAAAAAAAAAAAAGAATCCTGAAAATCTCTCCCCAAAATACTTAGAAGATAAGAAATCATAAGAGTTCCTTTTTTTTTCTTAAAAAAAATATAATATGGAAATTTTTCATAATTTTTACTTACAGTTTAAATAGTTTACATTGGTTTATAAACCTTTATGTCTAAAAGTACAAGCTTATATTTAGTCATTTGTTACTATGTAATTAAGAGTACATATGAAAAGGTGGTTTGTGTTTGGACATTATTTTTATTTTATTTTTTTGTTTTTTAAATATTTTTCTTTATTGATTTTAGAGAGAGAGGAAGGGGGGGGAGAGAGAGAAATGAAAATATCGATGAGAGAGAACATGGATTGGCCACCTCCTGCATGCCCCCCACTGGAGATCGGGCCCACAACCTGGGCATGTGCCCTGACCGGGAATAAAACCAGTGACCTCTTGGTGCATGGGTTGACGCTCAACCACTGAGCCACACTGGCCAGGCCTGGACATTATTTTTAATTGGTAGTTTATCCAAAATTCAATCTAAAATAAATCATTTGCTTTCATCTACCAATGAGGATGAATGTGATTATTTGCTTCTGACTGTGTATGTACATTACACTTTGAAATAACAAAGGCACTAGAGAGCAAGCAAAATCACTTTCACTCAGTCTGTTCCTCTATTTTTTCTGCTCAGTTGTATTAACACCATCTCAATACTTTATTCTCAGTCTAATTTCTATTTATCACTACATATATTCCATCCTAAAGACCCCCTCTCAGAAAAGAATCTAAGACGCATATGTATTGAGATCTGGATACAAAAGCAGTTAACGAGAGTTTGTAGGAATCTTTTTTTAGGGCGGCAGTCTCAGGTCTCTAGTACCACACTGGAGGCCTCTGGTTTTCCTGTTGGCCCTGGCAGAGCAACTGAAGTGGTCTGGGCTCTTATCTCCATGACTGCATTGACTTCCTTTTCTGTGTTTGACCAGCACTTGTTCACACACTGTATTTATTGTGGCTTTTGACTGGATGGCAGAATTTTGTAATCTTGTCCAAAATTATACAACTGTTTATGGTTTTTAAGTGTACTTAAAGATAAACTTATTTACTTACCTTTACCATAGACCACACATATTTTATGTTGCAGTTTCACTCTGGTTTTACAATGTTTTGAGCCTTGTTATTTTATTTAATCTTCACCTCAACGCAGTAGGTGAGGGACAAGGTTATTATGAAGATTATTTTCACTGAGGAAGACATTGTTATAAAATTGAATTAAAAAACAAGTTATAACTAATGTTTATGGCTAATGGGTAGCATAGTGCTGTTAATCAGTCAAAAACTACTAGGGTTGCTCTCCCTGTGCCTATCAATGATTCATGTGGCAACAGGAGCACAGGACTTTTAACATGGATTTAGGACTTTTATTTTAAATCTCTAAGTATGTTTCTTTTTTAAAAGAAATATTTAAAATGCCTAGTCTCAATTAAACAATAGATTGGATTATTGGAGCAAAATCTTTAACAGGATATGGCATATGGTAGGAACTTGTGTTGATGAATGACAAAAATCATAAGAAAATAGGTTTAGAGTAAGCTATTTTTTTTCCTTTTGTTCAAATATAGATTAAATAAATTGATTAAACTTGGAAAATATTACATACTAGGAAAGTATCTAATTGAAAAGAATCTGTACGAAGATGAATATTCATTTAATAAAACTGCAGTTTTAAAAATTGCAAATAAGAAAAATGTATGATTTCTACAAGGAAGGAGAAAAATGTGGTTTTTATTTGACCAATTACAAATATTTGCCATTTTTACAGGTGGTGTCACTTGCGCGTTATTTTCCTTATTTGAAATGTTATTTGTATTTAAAATTGTATTGTTGAGGAAGTTTACAACAGCATGTTCTAATCCGTGACATGTGGTCCATGTCCATGGACACGATCTCTGGGTGCATGGTCCACTTGTAAAAAATTTTGTTTTAATCTACTTACGTTCACACAGCATTAAGATCATGTTACATAGTGAAAACTATTCACTATCATTTCTAGAGTGATGCAAGTCAATAATTTTGGTAACGGTATAGCTGTGAAATAAAGTAATAAAATTCATAATTGTTCTTCTACTTTGACTTTTTCTAGATGTATTGAACAAAAATTTAAGCGCTGTCCTCCCCTGCCTACCACCAGTGTCATAATAGTTTTTCATAATGAAGCGTGGTCCACGCTGATTAGAACGGTCCACAGTGTGCTCTATTCTTCACCTGCAATACTGCTGAAGGAGATCATTCTGGTGGATGATGCTAGTGTAGATGGTAAGAAAGAACATGCCAATTAGATTGTTTCCCAAGTAAATCCATGTGGTGGTGTCCAAAGTCTATTTAGTAATATTGTACTCCCTGTATGCCATTTCAGAGCTTGACTATATAGCTTGGATGGTATCCATATTCAAATATTTTATTCTTCAAAAATATATAAAACACCATTATTGATAACTTTCAAGTCCTCAGTGGAACACTTTTATTTATTTATTTGAATTATGCTTTTATTGATTTTTTTTTTTTAAAGAGAGAGGAAGGGAGAGAGAGAGAAAAACATCAATGGGAGAGAGAAACATCAGTAAGCTGCCTCCTGCACACTTCCTACTGGGGATTGAGCCTGCAACCTGGGCATGTGCCCTGACTGGGAATCGGACCTGGATCTCTCAGTTCATGGGACAACACTCAATCCACTGATCCACACTGGCCAGGCCTCAGGGGAACACTTTTATTGTGAGGCTTAGTCGTTAACAGCTCAGACTTGAGACTGGAGTCAGGCTGCCTTGATGTTAATCCCAGCTCTGGTCCTAACCAGCTGTGTAACTTGGGTAAGTTATTTAACCCCCCTATGCCTCCATTTCACTATCTGTAAAATGGAAAAAAATGCCACACTTCATCAAATTTATTGTACGATATGTAATTAGTTTATATACCAGTAGTATAAAAAGCCCTCACAGCCACTTAAACTAAGATAACACTGATTATAAGAAGTATTTAACTGTGCAGTTTAGAATTGAGAAAATATATAAATACATAATTATTAGGGTTGTTTTGAAGATTAGATGAGTTGATAGAAATAATATATAATTAATGATGTAAATGAGTAGTTAAAAATCACTAATGAGTCACCACATTCTGTTCTATTTTGCTCTTAAATTTTCCAATATTGTTTACAAAGTTGGCCAAATTCTTTAATACATAGCTCCTTAAAATTACAAGAGGCACTTACTGAATTACATATTTTAAATTGGAATCACAAGGCTAATTTGACAAATATTCTATTTTGCTAAGTTTTCAAACATTACAAGCATTTTAAATACCCAACAGACATAGGTTGTTTCAATGATTACAAAATTTATTCCAGAATGAGTATAGTTTGCAGCCAAATTCCTTAAGGACAAATTTTATCTCCAACACTAATTAGCTGTTTACGCATCTGTAAAATGGGGTGATATTCTTTCATCAAATTCAAAGCAACATTTGTGGTAAGATAAACCATTACTTAATGTACCATAAGAAAAAAAGAAAGGGAAATGTTATCAACGATGAGATGTATAGAGACTTCAGAAATGGGAATAAGTGAATAAAGCATAAAACTATTAACCTATTTATTTCTAATATACAATTATTTATCTATTTCTATAATTCTAAAACACTCCTATGGTTTCAAAATAAAATCTCCCTGAGTGAATTGAGGTTATGTTCCCAAGTTAAAGTATCATCTAGGAATAAGTTTGCTTATCACTGGGAGATTTCTGACTTGGATGTGAGACATATTTACTAAAGGGGGAAGTTTTATAATCCCAGTCCCCTACATACAATTACACACTTTATCCAGATCTCTGATTTGAATCTTTAATCCTCTTAGTCAGGTTACTTTACCACTCAGTTGTAATCAACTAACTTACTGCTTGATCTGTTCTGAACATTTTCTTATTCTTTCTACTTGGACTGAAGTCCATAGAGTTTAAAGTGACATCTGATTAACTTCTGCATACCTCATATGTTTTACTTTCAACAATAACTGCTTTATCTGAGAAATCTTTCCCTCTTTGATTTCTTAAACTTTATTTTTAGAAGATTTTTATTTTGCTTGATTTTCAAGTAGTGAGACAATAGGAATATAGTAAGGCTACTTCTCGTAAGCATTCAGTTGAAAGAAACTTTATTATTTAATTGCACAAAGAAAATTAATAGAATTAAAGGAAATCAAAATGAAAAGTGACATTCTTAATCTTCCTGTTTCAACCATTTTAATATTTTCCTTTTTAAATCACTATCTAAATAAATATTGAATGTTTATCTAATTATACTCATGTCAGAAATCTAGTTATGAAATCTGACATATCATATAACCTTGTTATTAGCTCATTTATTTTTACCTTCAAAACTTTATTTTTAATGGCAAGTACGGACTAGATGCATTTTACTTAACCCTTCACCTTTATTCACTTCATATTATTACTCTACATTCTACTGCAATGAAAATGCTTGCAGTTCCATTATTTTTCTTTTGAATTATATCTATGGATAAGTCAGAAGTAGGACTGCTTGATCAAAAGGGTCTGAGTATTTTTATAATTTTTATAGCAATTAACAATCAATTTGGAACAGTTTTCTTGGCGAGGGCTATCTTTGCATACTAGTGTAACGTGTCTTACTGAATCAAAGAGCCGTCTAATGAATATCCACTGTGGAAAATGTGTCCCTGCTTGCTGTGAGTAGCTTGTGAAGTAGAAACCGCAGTCCCTGATTCCAACTGGCTTAGGGAGAAGCAGCATAAATGTGTGGGTAATAAAGTAAGAGACATAGTTAAATACCAATGATAGCAAAACAGAAGATAATCAACACTTAACAGAGCATAGGCCCTGTTTTAAATGCTTAGTCACACAGTAACCTCTCATTTTAGCCTCCTAACAGTCCCCTGTAAGGGTAAATCCTATCATCATCAACTTATAGATAAGAAACTGAGTTACAAAAAGATGAGATAATTTGCCCAAAGTCACACAGCTAAAAGTAATGGTGCTATAAATTGAACTGAGGTCTGATTTCATAGCTTTGTGCTTTTAACCTCACAAAAATTGAGATGTAGATGGGGACTAAATTTAGGGGGCAGATAAGACTATATGGGAAGTTTCGAAGGTGTTCATAAATAAAAATTTTTAAAAATTCAAACAGTTTATTGGGACTTTTTTTTTTAATGGAATCTGTAGTAACTACAGTTTTTAAAAATCTCCATTAATACTTTTGAAATGTTTTTATTTTATAAGTTTCTGTTTTACAAGTCTAGGATTAAAGCAGAAATATCCATAATTATATTTTTAAGACAAATTACAATCCTGCTTGTCTTGCAGAAAATTAATTGTGAGGTATGTACTTAGAAGGTGTTTAAAAAGTTAATCTATTACTCTGAGACAACAATGTTTATATTTGTTTTTAAACTAAAATTGTTCCTAGATTCTTACTTTATGAATGTTTAAGCTTTGAGTAACAGCTCTATTATCTGCATCACTGGAGAACTTAAAAAACATATATAATCACAGATGAAGCCATCTACATTTGCTTCTGAAATCTGACAGAAGCAGACATCTGCCATAGAACATTTATTTATGTTCTCAATATTCCCTAATCTTTATTGAGGCTATCTTATGGGCCCAAGAAGCCCTCTGAAAGAACTGCCTTATATGCTCAACGAGAAATCAAAATTTAGTGATGAAAAGCAGGCTTAAGAAATCGTTTAAAAATATGAACACTTGACTGACTTGATTAATGTGTTTTCTTTTACCTACTGTCTTAACTCTTGCTTATAATATGCTTCATCCAAATTGGAATATTGAATACCTAAAATTATATATCTATTAGTAAAATTTTGCCTAAGTTTAGCTTCATTCCTGATTCACATGCTCTCTTATTCTTTCATATTTTTACTGGAAAAAATTCTGTGTCAGGAGACTCCAAAGCTTTCGAAAATTTTCTGCTGACTGTAGAAATATTCCCAAACTTCTGTAGCCCTGGTCTTTCTTACTCTCTTTTGCTCGACATTATGGTCTTAAGTTATTTTGATCATTGCCTTAGTATCAGAATCCTTTTGATACTGGGTGTTTTTCTTCCAATTTCCAAATTAAATAACAATTTTTAAAAGCATTAAATGTCTTTTTGGCTCAATTTAGTTTCTTTACTTCCTCAGATGTCTCAATGAATTTTCTTAACTCCTGGGGTATGCTCCATTTGAAGTCTCTCATTTTGCCCCAAAGTATTGATAGAGTATATACAGAATATATGTTATAATGTTACATGTTACTGTAGTTCACAAGATTTGGATATACAGCTTTTTTTTTCAATAAAGAGTTAAAGTATAATTTTCATCTTAATGGAAGAATATGTGTAATCTTAACAGTTAACATGTAGGTATTTTTAATGAATGTGTAGGTATTTTTGTCCTGTAGTTTATTAGTTTTTATATATCATATATAAAAATAAACTTAAGAAGAGTTAATCCTGATTTTTTTTTCTTTCAGAGTACTTACATGATAAACTAGAGGAATATATAAAACAATTTTCTATAGTAAAAATAGTCAGACAAAAAGAGAGAAAAGGTCTGATCACTGCACGGTTGCTAGGAGCAACAGCAGCAACAGCTGAAACGCTCACATTTTTAGATGCTCACTGTAAGTATATATCTGTAGACATAGTTGTAATATTTTTCCTCCCCCTACCCCCTAATTTAAAAGGTAAGGAAGTCTTTGCTTTAAATGCCTAATTGCATTTTCTTTAACATCCTTTTCAACTGGTGATTATAGTAATGACAGCCCAAGCAGATTGCAGCTCTGCATAGGAACTTCCTTTCACTTATGCAAATTTCTTACCTTCTTTGCTATTAAGGTTCCTCAACTTTAATGTCTTCCAGTGACCAGCTTCCCCATGGAGTTATCCTTGCCTAGAATTTTTTTCAGATGCTCATTCTGTAGGGGGAAAAAAAAAGTGTTTTTTATTTTTTTAAATTATCTTTCTTGATTTCTATAATTTAAAATAAGTGAAAGTTTTGCTTGTTTAAATATAGTCAACCCCTATCATTAAACTTTGTTCCTGTACTCACATTTTTAAGTTGTGTATTTCAGTTCTTTTTTTTTTTTCCCTCCAAAGATTCACATACTGCTTGTGCTGAGTTAGGGGTTCTTCCTCCCAACTTCTGATATCTCTCCCATGAATTTTTTTTTTTATCCTCACCCGAGGACATTTTTCCATTTTTTGTACAGACAGAGTGGGAGGGAGAGAGAGGAAGAGAGAGAGAGGGAAACATCGATGTGAAAGGGACACATCGAGTGGCCGCCACCCGCACGACCAACCAGGGCCGGGGACAAACTGCAACCAAGGTACATGCCCTTAGCGGGAACCTAACCCGGGTCTCTCCGGACCACAGGCGGACACTCTAACCGCTGAGCCAAACTGGCCAGGGCTCTCCCATGAATTTTGTCAGTTTTTGTTGCTGCTGGGTTTTTTTTCCTTTGTATTTTAATGTTTGTTGTTGTTGGTTTTATTTTCCAGTGTCAATGATTTTCAGTAAAGGATTTAGAAGGTATTTTTAGAGTCAATGTTTAATGTACATGATAGGTATTAATGAAATGTCACTTTGTCCCTTCAGCTCTAAGTTTAGTGGGTGTTACTTTTGTATGAGTGTTTAGCTTTGGATTTGCCAGTCCTTGGTTGTGTTTGACTCAGCAAGTGGTAGCAAGCTTATACTAATTGTCACAGAAGGACTTTCAGATTTGCTGGAGTCTTTAGAGCTAACACATCCTGTATTCTCTCAGTAAAAGCCACTTAAAAAAATGAAGAGAGATCTAAGATAATCCAAGAGAGGTGATTTTAAAGGAAATGATCCATTCTTCAGTATGCTCTCTCTTTCCAAAATTACGATAATGTCAGACTGGGCATTCTTCCCTGCCTGAAGAATGTATCTGATGTTCCTTCAGGACCATGACTGCGGAACTCCCCCTGCTGGGAGCCCTGAGTAGGACTGCACATGCCTGCGTTTCCTGAACTCTGTTTTGTGACCAGGGCCCAGACCTTTCATAGTATTCCTTTGCTCCACCTTCCATTAAGGTTGGGACAGATTTGACTGTTCCTTGTCCTCTAACTGCTAAAATCAGAATATTCTGACTCTTGACTTACTTTCTCAAGATCCAGTCAGAAAAATGAAAAATTTGATTACTATATTTTACTCAGGGAGACGAGTTTAAGTCAAAACATATTTAGGGCTAGGTGGTATGGATCAGAAAAAGTTATCTTTGATTCATGGCCCATTAGAAAGAGAAAGCTCATCTGGAACTTAAATATGCCAGTATCATTTTGCTACCTGTCAAAGGTAAAAACAGATTGTCATGTGTAGGAAAGTTTTCCTAAGAATGCTGAATCTTACTTTACTTTTCAACTCCTACCCTAATCTCTTCACAAGAAGCCTTTAAAAAATCTCCCCCTATATAAGCGTTCAAAGCATAAATAACTTTGTTCTCATTTCTCTCTAAACCCACTCCCTCAAAACCAAAGAAAAAAAACCTGTTGTCATTGAATTAATTAAATATGTTCCTTCTAGGCGAGTGTTTTTATGGTTGGTTAGAACCTTTGTTGGCCAGAATAGCTGAGAACTACACTGCCGTTGTGAGTCCAGATATCGCGTCCATAGATATGAACACATTTGAATTCAACAAACCCTCTCCTTACGGAAGTAACCATAACCGGGGAAATTTTGACTGGAGCCTTTCTTTTGGCTGGGAAGCACTTCCTGATCATGAGAGGCAAAGAAGGAAAGATGAAACCTACCCAATTAAGTAAGTTGATTGCTCACAAAGTCAGTATATATGTATATATATGCAAGCTTTGCTTTTTACAGTAATTGCCAACAAAATAAAGAACACACACATTCTATATGTAGGGAATAGAGAATTCATTTATTTATGTGCCTACACATGATGTTGCTGAGCACGAACTAGAATAGCTCTTGTGCCTTCTTCATAATTATTACTTAAGAATCTTTAAACTTGGTTAGAAGATATGTAATCATTTGACTCTGTTGAGAAAGGGTACTTAAAGTACCCCCTCCCCACCTTGACTTTGAAGATAGCATTTTTAGCCTTTATTCATCTATGTAAGAACTTCTTACATAGAAATTAGAATCTTTAATATGTTTGTGAATTTAATATTGTTCTTTAAATATATATTTTTTCTTATTTGGTTTTTATAGTAAAATTTGGCAATGGGTTATTTTTCAGAACACCCACTTTTGCAGGAGGTCTTTTTTCCATATCAAAAGAATACTTTGAATATATTGGAACTTACGATGAAGAAATGGAAATCTGGGGAGGTGAAAATATAGAAATGTCTTTCAGAGTAAGTTTATAAACAGCATACATATGAAACAATGAAATATATATTTTGTTCTAACTGGCTGATACAGATTACCGTGGATGTGTGCAATCTTTTCATGTTGTGCTTTCTAAAATTTAATTGCTAGAAATTTTAGAATAGGATATTTCCTTTAAAAATGTAACTTAATATATTTATTTCTTGCTGCCCATGTAACAAGAGGAATCAGTTAAATGCCTGTGTCCAGGCAATAACACCAATTAATGCACTTGTAGCTACTGAATTCCAGCCAAGATAAATATAATTAAATCTAGTGCTTCAGGAAATAAGTTGATTATCAAGGGAGTCAGAATGGAAAAAAACATTTATGTATAATTTAAAAGGACATTGAACTTAACTTTTTGGCTTAAATTGGTCCCCCCCCCCCCCCTACAGATGAAAAGTTAATATGAGAAACAAAACAAAGGCTTTGGATGGTCTCCACATGTACTTGCTTGATTTCATGAATTTGTTATCTGCAATGACTTTGTCATTCATTTTCATCCTGTAGGCTGAAATGTAGTGGAAAAATAACAACTAGAAGTGAGCAGATTTTAAGTTTTGGCTCTGACTCCATCACGTAATGGCAGTGACAATCTTAGCCAAGTTTGAACTGCTTAAGGGCAGGGGTCTTGTTTTATTTATTTCAGTATTCCCAACCTGTAACACATGTTAGATCTCAAGCACAGTTTGTTGAATTAAACATATCACTGAGTTTTCTCATTTCTTTAAAAGACAAAAGCAGAGAGAGAATTTGATCACTTGCCCTAATACTAGCGCATGCTATGAAACATTATTTTAAATCATTTGCTTCGTGTTTATTTATGGTAGAACTGATTGTCAAGATATTTACCTGAATGGGCATTGATTTAATGATTTGCCATTTTATTTAGAGTTAATGCAAGGAAGTTTTTTTGTTTTTGTTTTTGTTTTGTTTTGTTTTGTTTTACTATCTTTAAATAAGTATGAGGTTTTATAAAAAAAATAATGACCAATTACTTTATAAGTTTAATAGATTTTACTTTGGTAATAATGACTATCCAGAATTCTCGTCTTCACTCACAGTTGCTTCATAAGCAATCATAGAGTATGGGCTCACTTACTCCAAGACGGCTAGAAGAGAGACTGTTCAAGTGAAGTAACCATATAAGTTGTATAAGACAGAAGTCAAATGCAAAAGAGCCTTTGATCTTCTGTGTATATTAGAGAGCTTGCATAATTGTTTGCAAAAAAGAAATTTTGGAATTCATTTTTATGAAAGATCTGAAATAATTTCATTTGATTTCTGAAAATTTGCATTTGTTGACATTAGTATACCATTTAATAAAATTGTTCTTTATATTTAAGAACTTAAGCTGAACTGACAGGGGGCAAAGCCTATCTGTGAAGTTGTGATTAACCTCTTTTCTATATTTTGCTTTTATTAATATCTTAAAGGTGAACTTAAAAAGCAACACTCTGGTTTTTCTAAAATACTGTAAATTTAAACAAATATCATTAATTATCAGGTATGGCAATGTGGTGGGCAGTTGGAGATTATGCCTTGCTCTGTTGTTGGACATGTTTTTCGCAGCAAAAGCCCTCATACCTTTCCAAAAGGCACTCAGGTGATTGCTCGCAACCAAGTTCGCCTTGCAGAAGTCTGGATGGATGAATATAAGGAAATATTTTACAGGAGAAACACAGATGCAGCAAAAATTGTTAAACAAGTAAGTTAGAGCTAAGTAATTCAATTACAATAAAAATCCTTTCCCAAGTTTGCACGTTCTTTTACTTATTTGATTAACTCAAGCACAAACTATTTTTATTTTTTATTTTTTTTATTTTTTTTTTTTTAATTTTTTTTTATCCTCACTTGAGGACATTTTTTCATTTTTTTTTTTTTTTTTGTTAGGATAGAGTAGAAGGGAAAGAGAGGAAGAGAGTGAGAAACATCGACGTGAAGGGACACATCGAGTGGCTGCCACCCGCACGACCAACCAGGGCCGGGGACAAACTGCAACCGAAGTACGTGCCCTTAGCGGGAACCGAACCCGGGTCTCTCTGGACCGCAGGCCGACGCTCTAACCGCTGAGCCAAACTGGCCAGGGCAAGAACAAACTATTTTTAAAAGCTGATCTTGAAGCTGGCTTTTTTAACTCTTAAAATATGTAATTTGTGATGCCAGTTTAAATTTTTTTAAGGAAAATTGAATAAACAGTTTTGTTGTTGTTAATCCTTACCTGAGGCTATTTTCCCATTGATTTTTTTTTTTTTTTTTTTTTTTTTACATAGAGTAGTAGAAGAGAGAGAGAGAAACATAGATATGAGACACATCAGTTGGTTGCCTCCCGCATGACCCTTGACCGAGAATTGAACCCATGACCCTTCCATCCTCAGGCCCATGCTCTAACCGCTGAGCCAAACTGGCCAGGGTGAGTAAACTGCTTTTAAAAAATGTAGACATTCTCCTTGATATTATCCTTTATACTATTGGAAGCCATTTAGTTTTGTAACTGCCTTGGTTCAATATTTTTCTCAAAGAAGATAAGATTAAGTGGAATTGTTTTCAACTGGTTTTAGGTGATGTGATTAACACTTAAATCAAGGTGCTAAGTGGTTTTTTTTGAACTGGAGATAAAGACAGTGTCAGAATATACCAGGCGTATTAAGGCTTTTTTTTTTCTCTTAAGTTCTGGTTCCACTACACATTGGAGGGGTCACCTTGGCAAAGTCCCTTTGAGACTCTTAATTAGTGACAGCACTTCCTCCATAAGCTGGATGTGGGATGTGTGCTCAGCCAATTCTCTTCTCTGTCCTTCCCTGTCTTAAGAGAGGAAATAGTTGCCTATCTCCCAGAGTAGCTGTGAAATAAGGAAATAAGTGCTAACAAATGTTTGGTACTGTTGTTATTGCCTGTCAGATAAGAGCTCTGCAGAATCATGGTGACTGATACAGGAGAACTGAGTTCCACTAGTTGTCACATTGGATGTGTAAATGAACTAGACGATTTAAGAACATGCTCAGTGACGGGTACACAACTCTCTTTATAAGAAACAGTGCTGTTTTGGGGGAGGGGGCAGTATATTATTGGGTTTAAAGGGCATCATGTTGAGGGTCATGAAGATCTGGTTCCCACTTTTCACCTTTTCTTTGGCCTTTAGTGTGTCCATGTAACAGTTCAGAAGGATGCAAGGTCAGAGCACTGCCGAGTTAGATTGCTGTCTTTTACCCAAGGCCACCAAGACAGATTGTGTACTGCGCAAGTGTACTTGGCTAAGCAGGCAAAAATACAGCTTATGCTCTTGTCACCCACAAAGAGGAGAGTCAGCAAGCAACCCCTCCCTGGTACAGGGCAAATAGCTCTATGTTGTAAAAGGTGTAAGCTAGCCAAAAGTCTTTTATAGAGTTTTATACTTTTTGCTAAAACACCTGGGTTTAAGACTTAGAAGTTGGCAGGGAAAATATTTTCTGTAGTTGAGCTGACAAGCTTGAGAATTTACCTTTTCGTATATTTAGGCACCAAATATAATATAATTTTCTTCAAAATTTTACCTACAGACTAAATTCCTTTTCAGTTTAATAGTTTTTTATTTTTTTAAAAGTTGTTTGGTCCAGCCGGTGTGGCTCAGTGGTTGAGTGTTGATCCATATACCAGGAGGTCACCAGTTCAATTCCCGATCAGAGCACATGCCCAGGTTGTGGGCCCGATCCCCAGTGGGGGGCATGCAGGAGGCAGCCGATTGATGTTTCTATCTCTCTCCCTTCCACTCTCTCTTTCTAACATCAATAAATTAAATAAATAAATAAATAAATAAATAAATAAATAAATAAATAAATAAAGTTGTTTGCTTAGTCCCTTAAAATAAAGGAAAATAAAATGTGATTGACTAAAATCTTACCTTTTTCTGGCAATACGATGTTATTGCTAGGATATTATTAGGGATGGTGTTAGGAGTAAACCACACCCATAAAACTAGAAAAAAGTATTCCCATCTGTGTTGTATTTTTTTGTGGTCTTGACCAGAGAAAAGGTATAAATTACATTATGTGTTGGCACTTTCTCAATACATGCTTTCTCACGCCTCACTTTACAGATCATTTTTGGGATCAATTTTGAATGCTCCCACTACCATTTCTTTGCTCATAGCTGTTTGCTAGAGATCTTTGTCCTATGGGGGAGGTTTGTGGTGCGTAGGAAGAATAAATGAAATAGCACCACAGTGGTACCTGATTCTCTTCGAAGCCAGAAATGAGCAGGCAGGTATACCTGTTGCCTGAATGAATGATGAGTGCAGTTAAATTTAATCTTACATTTAGCCCAGACATTATTATTTTTTTAACCCTTACCTGAAGATATTTTTCCATTTATCTTCAGATAGAGTGGGAGGGAGGGAGAGAGGGAGAGAGAGAGAAACATTCACGTGAGAGGGACACGTCGACTGGTTGCCTCCTTCACAACCCTGACCAGGACCGTGGATGAACTGCAACCAAGGTACATGCCCTTGACCGGAATCTAACCCGCAACTCTTTGGTCTGTGGGCCGAGGCTCTAACCACTGAATCAAACTGGCCAGGGCTAGCCTAGAAATTTTTTTAAGACCTAAAGATAAATACAAATAGTAGCATTTGAAGTACTTTACCAGTGTTGTTTTGATTAAGCCTTCTCTTCACTTGTTATCTTTCTCCAGAAATCATTTGGTGATCTTTCAAAAAGGTTTGAGATAAAGCACCGCCTTCAATGTAAAAATTTTACATGGTATCTAAACAATATTTATCCAGAAGTATATGTGCCAGACCTTAATCCTGTTATAGCTGGATATGTGAGTATTTTCTTGTTCTTTTTTACTTGGTCTACTCCTGGCCACCAACATTTATGTGGTTCAGGGAAAATTGCTGAAATACTTTCTGGTTGTTTGCTTTTGAGATTTTTACACTATTATTATTTACACTACTTCTTGAAATCAGTTGAAAAATATATTAACCACATAGATTTGAAAAAGTTTTTAAACTTGAAATTTTTTCTTTAGATTAAAAGTGTTGGTCAGCCTATATGTCTGGATGTAGGAGAAAATAATCAAGGAGGCAAGCCATTAATTTTATACACGTGTCATGGACTTGGGGGAAACCAGGTGAGCCCTGCTTCCTTCTCATTGGTCCCTTCTCATTGGTCATACAAATCCAAGTAAGTTGTCCCATATTTTTCAGAAGTCCTAAATCAGTTCTATAGTCACATAAGTGATGTATGAAATGTTTTTAGATTAAGTTTGGCAATTTATATTGACATTGTAGAGTGCTTTATTTTGATTTTTACTCTGGTTCTGAAAACAATTTAAAGTTGCTTACCCATTTAGTAGAAAGGTACAAGAGGAAATAATGCAATAATGCCCTTAGAAATAAAAAGTGGGATCTTTTGTGTGAACTTTGATATTGTGTGACTATTGGTGTGATGATTTTGCAAAATTATACATAAAAGCTATATTTAACTGGATTCAATAGTATATTACATCATATTAATACTAAAAAATCAGCTTTATAAGTTACTTTGGTAGGCCATAATAAATGTTCTAAAAAGTATGTTCTTGATTCTCTTTGATTGATGACATCTCTGCTTATTACCACATTTTCACTGTTTTTAGCAATTTAGACTCTAATGTCAAATGTCACTATTTGGCCTACTATGAGTAGAGAACATATTAAAATATTATTTCGAGTTTTTACCTTTCTTTCCTTGTCTTTTACAAGTGAACTCCTGAAATGATTAGACTCTATTAATTCAACAAATTCATGAAGTGACCCCTGCATGTCAGATACTCCGTTGGGGTCAAACCATTTCGATTCTAACTCCTTCAGGAAATCAACATTTCAAAACCAGTGGTTACAGTCAGGATGATAAGATCTGGGGTAAAATATTCAGAGTGCCCTGTGAATATGGAGAAGGGCATCTGAATTAGACTTGGTGCCCATACATTTGTTTTGGAAAGATGCCATTTGAAAACATGTTTTGAAAGGTACATAGGAGTTAGTGAGGTGGGAATGAGAATGGAACAAGAAAACTGTGAAGAAGGGTGTACTAAGGAGAGAAGCTGGTATGTCTTTTTTTGGGGGAATTACAGGTGTAGAGTTCAAGATGTATATGAGGGATTTTCACAAAATTAAATACAATATCCTGTTTTAACAGGATGAGACTTTGATGATGTCAGTTTTAAGAAGAAAGGATCAATTTATCTCCTGGTCCATGTTCTTCCATGTTTTCCTACTCCTTAACCTCATCTTAATTTATTTCCAGTCCTTATCCAAACCAAGCAGTCCACTGAGGGCAGATGATTCAGATGCCCAGACGCAACAGCTAGTGAACAGTGTTTATTGCTAGATGGTTAATGTGTAATTCTGAAATGGGATGGAGATGCACATCCATGCATGTGTGTATGGTATATACACATATATGCATATTTAAAAATTTTCCTTTTTGTTTATATATTAGAAGAAAAGTAACTGTATGAATAGTTGCATTCTTTTGGAACTAACACTGGACTGTGCTAGGAAAAATTAAGGTCTTGAGCAATAAGAAATATTTCCTCATTTGTAAAATTCTTCTCACTAAAGGTAAATACTTAATAAATTTCCCTCAGGCTTTCTCTAGCATTACATTGATTTTTATCATAAAAGTTGAGGATATATATGACACACTGTTCTATGTGTTTTTCTCTATCATTGCCATAAAGATGTTTTTATAGTTTAGTCTCTGGAGAAATAATTCAAATATTCTTCCAATGAATATTTGTTTAGAGCCTCTAATGAAACACACACTGTTATAGTAGTGAAAGAGACAGAGTCCCTGCTTTGGTGGAGCTAGTGTTTAGAAGGAAAGGAAACAAACAAGAAGTATGTAATTTTGAGTATGAAGAAAAATAAAGCAGGGTAGGGTGTGTGTGTGTGTGTGTGTGTGTGTGTGTGTGTAGGGGAGTAATTTTGAAGGTTCAGAAAGCCCTGTTTGAGAAGGTGACTTCAGAATGGAAGCCTGAAGGGGTTGGGAGAGGAACCATTTTCCAGGGAAAAAGCATCCTGGCAAAGGGAGTACAGTGGGCCAGAGGCCCAGTGGCAGGTGCGTGGAGCACACACAAGGCTAGCGTGAGTGGAGCAGCGTGGTCCAAGGAGAGAAGTGTGGGAAATGAGGGTGGCGACATCAATGAGGGTCCTGGTCCTGTAGGCTCTGCAGGCCTTCTTAAGGACCAGGGATTTAATTCTGAGTGACAGAAGCCATCTGAGGGTTTTGAGCAGGAGAAGCCTATTTTCTGGTTTATATTTAAGAAGGTAACTCTGGCTTCTATCCCCCTAACCCAGCCATCAGTTTTATATTGGCTCATTTCTTTCCAGTCAAGCCTCACATTTAAACTACTTTGCGAATTTTAGTTTCCCATGCTAAACGTTTTTGTGAGATGTCATCTAACGTAATCGTTTCCTCATGCGCTTTTCTACTGCTTTGACCAGATAATGATATTTTTATGACTGAAGGTTCATTGTAATGGTATTTGTATATGCCAAGTAAGAATAAGTATTTTGATGAGGTGACTAAATTGACAAGTAAACTGTGCAATGCAGTCTAAGTCATAAAGGTTTTTTAACACAGTGTTTTGCTTCTTCCACTTTTTCTCCCAGGGTATTCTTTCTGGTTCTAAGTTACATGTTTAGCCAATGCTCTCAGCTAGCTAATTCTATACTCTTTTTTGTTGTTGTTGCCTAAGTATCTTCAGCTAGTTTCCATTTCTTATAATAATGTCCCTTTTAACGATTAAAAGAGTTATAATATGAGTGAAGTGAAATACTGAACAGCCTTTCTTACCATCTTTGAAATCCTTAGATTTATTTATTTATTTTTTTTGGGTACATGCCCCTAGTGGGAACCAAACCTGGGACTCTCTGGTCCACAGACCGACGCTCTTACCACTGAGCCAAACCAGCCAGGGCAGATTTATTTTTCTTAAAGATGTATGACCAGAGTGCTGTTTTCATGATCTAGACCCATTTCCTTTCAATGTCTCCATCTGAAGAACTACCAGTTATAAAAATGACTGACATTATATTTGTGGAAGGAGGTAAATTAAGCATGAGACTAAGACCAAGGAAGCTCAAGATTAGTTCAGCTAATATTTGTAGAGTGTCTACTCTAATATGTCTAAAAGGGTTTCGAACAGTCTCTGCCTAGGACATAATAAGGCCTCAATAAATATTAGTGCTAAGACTAATTATTTCACTACTGAAAATCAATTATAATTCAGCTATTTTATTTTTAGTATGTCACCATTATGAAATCTTTGATTTGTGATGAGTGTTATTACTAGTCATACTTCCTGACTTTGGTCTGTAGTGAAGCTAGCTATACACACAATTCTAATAGAGTGCAATAAAAGTTATCTTTGAGGGACTGTGGGAACCCTAAAAAGGATGTAATTTTGTGCAGTAGGACAAATTCATGGAAACCAAAAAGAAAGAATGTAATATTTGAATTGGCCTTTTGAAGACTAAAAAGGAGTTAGCTGGCATAGAAGGACCCACAAGGATATTCCAGGCAGAGCGCAGCACAGCATAGTCTTAGAGTTATGGATACAGATGTTCTGCATTGGTAGAATTGTGTGAAAAGAGTATAGTATATAACTGGGGCATTGGTTGATAAAAGATTGAAAATGGAAGTTTCATGTACCAATTAAGGAGTGTGGACTTTATCTTAGCAACGGCAGTGACTCACTTTAGCAGGGGAGGGAGGGGATCAGATAAATGTTCTAATAGACTAACAGTGAATTGAAGCAGAGTGAGTTTCCATTTACTCAGGCAGCAGAGTGAATTGAAGTATAGGAGCAGAAATTGAAGATAACTGGAGGTGTTGCAGCAGAGATTTTGAGTGCCTGAACAAGAGAAGTGGGGATATGGAAGTAAGGATGGTGGGATGGTAACATCTGAGAGAAAAATTCAGTAGGACAAAGGGACTAATTAACTGGATCGATGGGGAGAAAGAATCATCAGTCTAGTAACAATAGCTAAAATGTATTGAATGCCTACCATGAGCTAGTTATTGTCGTGGTTTGCATGTATTAACCTATTTCTCTTAATAAAACTAAGGAGTAGGAGCTATTAAATTACCCACCTTATAGCCAAGGAAACGGAGGCATGGAAAGTATCCCTTTTAAATGTCGTGGTTTAAATAAAAATGCCAGGAATTGAGATGAATCAGAGAGAAGGAACATTTTTGAAGAGAAAGAGGCAGTTAAGGTACCTGCTAGACCTTTCCAGTCCCTTTTCTGGGGAGTATCTGTCCTAACCTCCATTCTACCTGAAAAGGTTACAGTATCTTCTATCATAAAAAACTCAGCTTATGTTTCTGATACCAATTTTTATTGTATTTTGTTGAAGTAGACATGACTTCATTATTCAGTAAGTTGCTGACTTTTTTTTTTTCCATTGAACTGTTATTTTGCAACTGAACATCTAGGGTGCTTCTGTCAGTAACAGCAGTCTTTTTCTTATAGTACTTTGAATACTCTGCTCAACATGAAATTAGACATAACATCCAGAAGGAATTATGTCTCCATGCTGCTCAAGGTCCTGTTCTACTGAAGGCATGTTCCTACAAAGGTCACAAGACAGTTGCCGTTGGAGAACAGATATGGGAGATCCAAAAGGTACCTTAGTACAGTTAATTCACCCCTTTATGTAATTACTATTTTAAATAGCCCTAACTGTTTATCTGGGAAAATACGTGAAACATATTGTATTAATGTTATCCTTCAGAAATTTTCAGCTTTTATTAACTTTGTTATTGTTTGCCTACATGTGATAAAAGAGACTGTATTCCTCTGGCCGGTGTTGCTCAGTGATTAGAGTGTCAGACCGCACACTAGAGGGTCTCAGGTTTGCCCAGACAAGGGCATGTACCTGGTTTGCGGTTCATCCCTGGCCCCTGTCAGGGTGCATGTGGGAGGCAACCAGTCGATGTGTGTCTTTCACATTGATGTTTCTCTTTCTCCCCTTCTCTCCCTCCTTCCTTTCCTTCCACTGTCTCTAAAAATCAATGGAAAAAATGTCCTTGGGATTAATGAGAGAGAGAGAGAGAGAGAGAGAGAGAGAGAGAGAGACTGTATCTATGAGTTAAGTACTCTTAGGAACAAAATAATTGGAAAGTTTCTTAGTTAAAGCATGATTTGTACAGATGAACACTTCTGTGAATTATTAATAGTTGTTGACAGTATTTGTCTTTTTAAAGTTTCTTATAGTGCTTCTTGTAATAGGCACAATTTTTTTTTTGGCAGAGAGAAAAGGAAACCATTATTTGTTTCTTACCTAAAAATGCTTAATTCTTTCTTTCCCCATTTCAGTACTTCTTTGTGTGAATCTAGAACTGAGAGAATACATAAAAGATCTTGTTTGGTTTTAAAAACATATCTTAGGGCTTAGCTGGAACCTAGTAATTCTTACCTGAAAATTGTTTTGTACAATGCAAAACACTATAAGACTGTCTTTTATGACTTACATTTTTTAAAAAGAGTTTGTCACTTATGGATATATAAATGGAATGTTTCTTGTTTGAAAACTTGATGGAAACCTTGCTCTGTGTACCTCTCTTCATGTATACAGTGCCTTCTATAGTGGCACAAACAGTGCTGGTTACCCCAGAAACCAAGATTTTATCAGACAGAGTTGATCTTAGAAAGAAGAATGGTGTATATTTGGTGTGCAGGTCTCCCTTTAGCTTCAATGAGACCATAAAGTAGTGTTTGTACTTATCAGTTAACTAAGAGTCTTAAAACTTAATGTCTGTTGTGTTTCCTTTTATTCTAGGATCAACTTCTATATAATCCATTCTTAAAGATGTGCCTTTCAGCGAATGGAGAGCATCCAAACTTAGTGCCATGCAATCCATCGGATCCACTCCAAAAATGGATTTTTAACCAAAATGATTAAGTGTTCCTTAAAATTAAGGAGTTAAAAAAGGAGATATTTTTTCTCATAAAACTGTGACTAGGCATACACTGTAGTTTTTGAAAATTATGCAAAAGCAGCTAATTGTAACTTATTCCAAGTGCATTTTTCTTATTTATATCTTACAATGTCTCTGTAGCATTAATACAGAAATCTCTTGTCTCCATTTCAAAGCACAATAATTAATAATACCAAAGACTCTTTTGAAATGTCCAGATGTAGGGGAAGAGATGTTTACAGTATGATGATGATAATTTTCCAAGTCAAGTGATGTTTGTGTGTTTTGTACACTTGAGAATATACATAGCTACATTCACACACTCACAACTTAAAATATTCTAGTTTTTTGGGGGAAGGGAGAAAGATTTGATACTGTATTTTTTAACTACATACAAATGGATCAATTAAGGTCAAACATTGGCCTTTGTATACATACCAGGAAATTTTTATAGATCTAGAATTTATTACATGAAAATGCAGGTAAACATTTTTTTTTTTTTTGCCATTTGTTTACTTATATGTCAAATGTTTCCTTAAACATGGAATTAAATAAATAAGCAGAAAACTATTTTTGACACTTTGATTTCTTTGCAAATTTAAAACTATTTTTAGTCTGAAGTCCACTTGACTTGAAGCACTTAAGTCTTTCTTAAAAGACTTTTCTTAAGTAACAATACTGTGTTTTCCCAAATCAATTAAAAAGACTTTATAACTTACTATCTGTTGAAAAGTTGTCTTCTTCCTTTCTGTTAGTCTCTTTTTTCTTACCCAAATTCACTAATCTTGAATATTTGCGAAATTGAATCTTAAATGCAGAATACTTGACTCATTTAAAGCTAAATTTTATTTGTTACTGATTTAAGTCAATTTGTTAACTGTTCAATTAATAGATTGTCTTTGTAACAAATTTTTTTCCCCCCAAAACCCTTATTTCTCTCTATGTGGAAAACACAATAAAACAAATCCTTACTATTGTAATCACTGGATCTAAGTATTTTTCTCTTTTGGATAAATACCTGATTGACAGTAGGTGGGGGAAGCGTGAATTTGGTCTCCTGAATTCTAAGCACTGATTGTAGAGCCATCAGATATTTCTCAAGAAAAACTCACACATAAAAAATGGGAATGGAGGATTCCATGTTATATGTTTAGAAAATTTTGTACTGATTTCTGGTAACTTTCCTTGAGCATTGATAGAACAATTTTTTTTTAATGTGATGCTTATTTAGGAGTTAGCATTTTTTTCTTTTGGGCCATCTTATATACAGATCTCTTGTATTCTTACTTAAGAAGTAACATATGATTGGCTTTCTATTTTAAATCCAGCAAAGCCTCAGTTGTACAAAAGAAAAATTTTAAATTATTGGTCCCATCTTCTCATTATTTATAACTTTGAAATTGCATTTTAAATAACCTGCATTTTTTTTTTTTTATCCTCACCGAGGACATTTTTTTTTCATTTTTTGTTCAGATAGAGTGGGAGGGAGAGAGAGAGAAAAAAATCATCGACGTGAAAGGGACACATCGAGTGGCTGCCACCCGCACGACACAACCAGGGCCCAACCAGGGCCCAACCAGGGCCGGGGACAAACTGCAACCCAGGTACATGCCCTTAGCGGGAACCGAACCCGGGTCTCTCTGGACCGCAGGCCGACGCTCTAACTGCTGAGCCAAACCAGCCAGGGCAAAAAACCTGCATTCTTTAATTTATTACAATGCAAACTTTTATTTCAATTCAAGTACCTTTCACTATGTGTCTAACTATGTGACAAGTTATGGTAGGCAGAGTAAGATTTACATTGCCTTTGAGCTTAGGTCTTATGGAGCAGGAAAAAAAGACAAATAATTTTGAAATAGTATAATGAGTGACATTACGATGTTATATCTATTTTATGATGTGGATGCCAGCTCATTCATATTTGATATTGATTTAATAAGTAAAGATATTTCTTTATTGCTATAATATTCTAATATGTAAGGTGAAATATACACCAGTGACCACTTACGTATACAACCTCTGTTTCTCAGTTTGTTACTCTGGAGCAGCGATTTGCAACCAGTGTACATGACATGCTGTATGCTGCAAAAATTTTTAAAACATGTGATACCTGACTATTTAATCAGAGGCACTGACATCTTTCCCCTTAGATTGTCAAATAAAAAAATAACAACAGCTGACACAACAATAGATGTCCGGAGGGAATAAGTCAAAATTATACCTTGTTTTTCAGTCAGATATTATATACTTTTTGGTGTGCTGCAGAATTTTATTTTATTTTTTTTTTTTTTTTTTTTTTTTTATTTTTATTTTTTTTTTTCACCATTTGTGAAACATTTATTATGTGTCAGATACAAAGTGCTTTATTTTTTTTTTTTTTATTAATTTTTATTTATTTTTTTGTTACAGATATTTTACCTTTTTACCCCATTGGCACCCCCCACCCCACCCCCTCCACCCTGTCCCCGGCTTAGTTGTCCATGTCCATTGGTCATGCATACATGCCTATAAGTTCTGTGGTTTATCTCTTCCCACCCCCCCACCCCCCATCCCCTCTTCTGAGGGATGTCAGTCTGTGCCCTACTTCCATGTGTCTGGGTCTACTGTATTCCTCAGACTGTTATGTTCATTATATTCCGTATATAAGTGAGATCATGTGGTATTTGTCTTTTTCTGCTTGGCTTCTTTCACTTAGGATAATACTTTCCAGGTCCCTCCATGTCGTCTCAAAGGATAAGAGATCTTTCTTTCTTACCGCTGCATAGTACTCCATTGTGTATATGTACCACAGCTTTTTGATCCATTCGTCTACTGGTGGACACTTGGGCTGTTTCCAGATCTTAGCTATTGTAAATAGTGCTGCTATGAACATGGGGGTACATATATTCTTCCTGATTGGTGTTTCAGGCTTCTTAGGGTATATTCCCAGCAGTGGGATCACTGGGTCAAATGGAAGTTCAATTTTTAATTTTTTGAGGTAGCACCATATTGTTTTCCATAGCGGCTGCACCAGTCTGCATTCCCACCAGCAGTGTATTAGAGTTCCCTTTTCTCCACACCCTCGCCAACACTTGTTGTTTGATGATTTGTTGATGGCGGCCATTCTGACAGGTGTGCTGCAGAATTTTAGTAATTAGTTTATGTGTGCCATGAGATGAGAAGGGTTGAAAATTGCTGCTCTAGAGTGAACATCCAGGAGAAAATGTTATTCTTAGAATTTGTTATATCTCATTATACAAAACAAAACAAATTCTCAAAGGTATTTTATCAAAGAACTGAAGTAAAGCATACTAAAAAAAAAAACAAAAACAAACTTGAGTGCCTTTTGTATATTAGTCACATGCTGTCAAGACAAGAGCCAACCTAAATCTGTTTAATTAGGTTGATGGGTTTATGGCTGTGTTACAAGCATTGAGAAGGGAGAGTTCTTACCTGATTTGGGAGCCCAAGGCTGTTGCTCGAGTGTCATTTAACTCATTTCACTAGGGATTTGTCCTTCTGGGTCAGGTAGTATCTTTTAAAAGTCTGAATAGGAAGTTATTTATGAAACCTGGTTGACTTGATATGCTTTTTATGATGTGCTCTTGTGAAACTGTGGAACTCTTGCTCAGTTTGAAGCTACTGTGGCAAATGCTGCAGAAGACCTGACATGTTGCCTTTTTCCAGAGGACCAAGGCCCCAGAACTCTAGATTGGGTACCTATACTGCCAAACCTGTTAGGAGTCAACCTGATGGGTGGGCTCACTGAAAACCAGGATATGACCACACAACCAGTAGAAAAAAACAAGCAATACACTAAAATTGCCTATTACTACAACCAATAATGATAACTTTTAAGTTGCTGTATTGCCAAAGAATTGGCCTTGCTGTTCACAATTTAATTAAATACTATGTAAACCATAAACATATCAGAGCAAAAGGTGTAGGCAGCAGCTATTTCTAAGAAAACAAGGTTGAATGCTTTGGGAAAACTAGAAAAATATCCAATTATTGTTTTAAATGTGGCTAAATTATATGTGGATGAGAATTATAAAAGATAGGGAAAACAAAAATCTAGGAAGATTCTGTGCTAAAATTGCTTCACAATAGGCTTTGGGTCTCAACCTTCCTAATGCTGTGACCATTTAATATAGTTCCTCATGTTGTGGAACCATAAAATTATTTTTGTTGCTACTTCATAACTGTAATTTTGCTACTGTTATGTCTTAGGCGACCCCTGTGAAAAGGTTGTTCGACCCCCAAAAGGGATTGCGACCCACAGGTTGAGAACCGCTGCAGAGAAAGCAAAACACAGTGTCTTCAGGTGATGGATTTTAGTGTGGTTTGTGCAGGAAAGATGTTACAATTATCATAAACCAATTCATACTGAAATAAAAGGCCTTGGCCTTACAATGGAATATTTGTGAAGGAATTAATGTACACTGTGTGTGTGTGTTTTAAGTTAAAATATTTGATATGTATCTTCATTTTAATGGCTTTCTGTTTTATTTTTTAATTTATTTTTGTTACAGATGTTTCTCCTTTTGCCCCCATTGACATCCCCCTCCCGACCTCCTCTCCTCTGCCCCCCCCCCCCCCGCATTGTTATTTGTATCCATTGGTTAAGCATACATGCATATAAGTTCTTTGGGTTATCTCTTCCTTCCCTGACCCAACATCCCCCTCTTCTGATGTTTGTCAGTCTGTATTCTACTACTATGTCTCTGGGTCTATTTTGTTCATCACCTTATTTTGTTAATTATATTCCACAAATAAGTGAGATCATGTGGTATTTGTCTTTCTCTGATTGGCTCATTTCGCTTAGCATAATACTCTCCGGTCCCTCCATGTTTTCTCAAAGGATAAGATATCTTTCTTACAGCTGCAAAGTGTTCCATTGCATATATGTACCACAGCTTTTTATCTATCATCTATTGATGGACATTTGGGCTGTTTCCAGATTTTAGCAATTGTATATAGTGCTGCTATGAACATGGGGGTACATATATTCTTTCTGATTGGTGTTTCAGGCTTCTTAGGGTATATTCATAAAAGTGGGATCACGAGACCGAAAAATGGCGGCGGAGTGAACAGAGCTACACAGACCGTCTCCCAGAACCAAACTGGAATTACAACTATAACACAGACAAATCGACGGGAAAAACCAACAGAAAAGCAGCTTGCAAGGACCATACAACGAGGGACACTGACTCCATCCCGGTAGGCTTGCGAAGGCGCGAGACGGGGCTGGGAGCCCACGGTCGGCAGCTCGGCAGCGGCCTTAGCTATAAGCGGCGCCCGCAGGTTACACTCCCAGGCGGCCCCGCAGCGCAGCCGGGACTGAGGCTAAAACAGCCACAGCCACTCACCTTGGGCTCCGGCAGAGGGAGGGCAGACTGGACTGGAACTGTGTCGGGACACTCGGGGTTTGGAGGGCTCTCGGAGCTTTGGCTGAGTGCAGCCACTCAGGACGGTGGCCACATTGCTTCTTCCCAGGGCTCTGAGAGAGGCAGCAGCCCCTCCCTCGGAGATCCAACCCCACCCTGTGGGCCATTGAAGTGTTAATTGAGGCTCACTAAGGACCAGCATCTGCCCCACCCTCCTGAAAGCCCCTTGGCTGAGCACCAGAGGGAGTTTTTCAATCAACTGACAACCCAAAACTCATCAATTAACCTAGACTGCTAGCTTCCAGGCAAAAAGCTAGAGGATAACAGTACGTTTCCTGGGCTGGCAGCTTTAACCAGGAAAGTAAGACTTGACAGTGGTGTTCAACGCGGGTCCTCCCTCGCTCATCTAAACACAGGAGAGGGAGCCACAAACAGCAGAACACCAACACCCACAGGGAGAACTTGACAGGCTCCAAAGCCCAGAGTGATAGCTAAAATGGTGAAACACAGAAACAGAAGCCAAATGAAAGAGCAAACCACCTCCACCGAAGATGAGATCAATGTGGAGCAATTAGGCATGTTAACAGAGCTAGAATTCAGAGCCATGATCTTGA